GAAGAAGAAGAAGAAGAAGAAGAAGAAGAAGAAGAAGAAGAAGAAGAAGAAGAAGAAGAAGAAGAAGAAGAAGAAGAAGAAGAAGAAGAAGAAGAAGAAGAAGAAGAAGAAGAAGAAGAAGAAGTTGGAAGGTACCTTTGAAGGTCATCTAGTCCAACCCCCTGCTCAGGCAGGAAGCCCTATACCATTTCAGATAAATGGTTGCCCAATCTCTTCTTAAAAACTTCCAGTGTTGCAGCATTGACAGCTTCTGGAGGCAGGTTGTTCCACTGATTAATTGTTCTAACTATCAGAAAGTTTCTCCTTAGTTCTAGGTTGCTTCTCTCCTTGATTAGTTTCCATCCATTGCTTCTTGTCCTGCCTTCAGGCACTTTGGAAAATAGCTTCACTCCCTCTTCTTTGTGGCAGCCCCTGAGATATTGGAACACTGCTATCATGTCCCCCCTCATCCTTCTCTTTATTAAACTAGACATACCCAATTCCAGCAGCCGTTCCTTATATGCTTTAACCTCCAGTCCCCTAATCATCTTTGTTGCTCTTCTCTGCACTCCTTCTAGAGTCTCAACATCTTTTTTACACCATGGTAACCAAAACTGGATGCAGTGTTCCAAGTGTGGCCTTACCAAGGCATCGTGAAGTGATATTAACACTTCACGTGATCTTGATTCTGTCCCTCTATTAATGCAGCCTAGCACTGTGTTGGCTTTTTTGGCAGCTGCAGCACACTGCTGGCTCATATTTAAGTGATTGTCCACTAGGATTCCGAGATCCTTCTCACAGTTATTACTATTGAGCAAGGTACCCCCTAAACCATACTTGTGCATTTGGTTTTTCTTGCCTAAATGTAGAACCTTACTTTTTTCACCATTGAATTTCATTTTGTTAGGTAGTGCCCAATGTTCAACTCTGTCAAGATCCTTCTGTATCTTAAGCCTGTCTTCTGGAGTGTTGGCTATTCCTGGGTAGCATCCACCAATTGCCTTAGTGGGTCTCTCTCTCTCAGAATACCTGTGGGGCACCCAATGGGCTGCCAATTCTCAAAAGTTATACAACTTTGGGGCAAAAAGACAGTTGCTTCAGAAGCTAAATCAGGAGATGAATTGGCCTAAATTCACTGCTTCTCCTAAGCCTTCCTTTAAAGCATTTGCTTCACCTTTTGCCAAATGGTAGCGTAAATTTTCTTTAAAGTTCAAAGAACTAGAATGTAATAAAATTGAAAGAAACAAAAAGAGGAAATGAAAGAATGAACTAGGATTGTAAAGAGATAATTTTAGATTTAAAGTTATTCTAGATTAGAACCAGGATTAGGATGCTGTTGACTGATTTCCATGTTGGGACTTACCTCACCATCTATAAACTGTGCCCCAATTAATGTTTGCATTTGCTTTATGTCTTCAGAAGGGCCTGTGATGAGAGATGTTCCTGTGTCCACTATAGCCTGACATCCATTTGCACAAAATGCAACTTTTCCACCAACCTGGATACTGAAAAGAAAATGGAAATAAACTTGGGAGGGGCGGGTTTTGGTGGTAATGCCTCTCCAAGATATTTACAGTGGTAACTCTTCTTATAGCATGGTTATAGGTTGACTTGATCCTGACACTGTTTTCTTACATTTGTTTTAATGTCTGCCACTTCATTAATGGTTCCCCTTTGCAAAGATCTGTGCTAGAGATGTGCAGTGATGGAGATTAGTAGATTTTAAATGATAAGTGAACAACATTTCTGGTTGCACCATGGGAGAAGAATATCTTTGTCTCCTAAAATGCGATTGCTTATTTAAGAAAGACACACTTGGAATTTTGGCATCTCACAAAGTTGTTTTGTTTGCCTCTATCTGTGACTATAATGCCCCTTCAGGAATCTCCGTATTTTTTCTTGCCATATGGATTGTCTAGACCAGGGGTAGGCAACCTTGGCTCTTTTATGACTTGTGGACTTCAACTCCCAGAATTCCTAAGCCAGCATGGCTGGCTCAGGAATTCTGGGAGTTGAAGTCCACGAGTCATAAAAGAGCCAAGGTTGCCTACCCCTGGTCTAGAGTAACCTTATCTGGTTTGCAAAAATTGCAACAAGATGCAAAAAATGCTATATTTAATATAGCAAAACTAGTACTAAATTACTATCTAATTGTCTGGAGTTTCCCTACTGTTGTGGATCTAGTTTAAAAGCAAATATTTCTTCATTCTGCAGCTTCTTAGGCAAGAAATGCAGTCAAACAATAACAAGAGTTATCTTGCACGTTTGATGTAGCTGAGGGCTTCTATAAAGATATTGAAAGTTTAGGATTTATGGTTGCTGATTTCAAACTTTCCTAGGACTTTTGGTATCAAGGAAGCAAAGCTCAGTAGATAAGGAAAGTTTTGGTGCTTTAGATTCTGTAATTTTTTGGAATGAAGCAGGAATTCTTCCACAATGACAGCAATTGAATTTGAAGATTTTCTGAAACGTCATGCGTGACTTGGAATTTTACAAACTGTAGAAACTTAGAGAATATTCAAAGCATTGCTACTTTGCTTTTCAATATAAAAAAATATGAAGGGAGGGATGGAGGGGGAATAGACAAGTAATAGATGGAATTTCTTTTATCCACAAGGAATTATTTACAACCTTTGGAGAATTGGCAAATACTGTTGTAAAAACATCTGTTACAGACAATGATATAATTAATATACATAATCACCTAAACCACCTTCCTGGCTTTTAAAGTAGTGAAAAATAGCTCTCTAACTCAAAGGATAAATATATATCATATCCAGCTAAATAGTTAAAAGATGATTACAGCTCATTGTAATAGTGAAAGGTTGGGATTTATGAAACAGATGTGGTGCTTCTATGCAAGATTGACAAGTCTGAGTCCTAAATGCGCAATTACCCTGAATTCTAGCATTCATCAGAGATAGAAAAGTAGCTATTATCTCAGAGAATTCCCCCCTTACTTCCAAACAAGATATGTACTTATCCAGTTGGATCTGCCAGTATCCCTGCTTAGTGACTGGAATCCAGCTAAGGTTTCCACTGAAATAGGTCTCATCATAGCCACCAAAAATCAGTTCCCCTCCTATAGAAGAATAAGGGTTTCTGAGGAGAGAAAGAAGAAATAATTACATTGATACGAGCCTTTTCTTTGTGTTTTTTTTTCTATTACATACTCATTCTTTTCAAAATTCTAAACCATAATTGATGCCCCCACATTTTCTAATACTCCACATTTTCCAGGTTTCTCACATCAGTCCTCTGGGCTGTCTCTGGATCATGCCTGGACATTGGGCACAATGATGAATGGAATATTGACTGAGTCCGAGAAAGGAAAGTACATGAATATAACTATTCTTTCCAATAATAATCAAAAATAATAGCTCGCTTTGGAATCTGGTCCCAGTTTCAAAAATAAGAATCTGGTACCTAATTTATAGGGAAAGAGAAAAGCTTCCCTTTTCCTGCTAAATAATTGGTTTTGGGTTTTTTTTAAAAAAAATAGCCAACCATATGGTTTCCTTTGGTATTGGCTTTTATTGATTTCAAGTAAAGTAGGTGCTAATCTGGAAGGGAAACTTTCTACAGTATTGGGAGGAAGAGTCAACTTTTTATACACTACCTGTTCATGTAAACTGAGAATATTGGTAAGTCCACCAGGTTTTGGGCCATCATATTATCAAATACAGGGGTGACACCATCCACAGCCAAGGATGGATAGGCCAGACCAAGTATCCCATCAAATTCTGCATCCAGAAAGGTGTTACCAGGTTCAGAGACACTTTCTGCAAACTGTTGATTTACTATGGTGAGTCCTTCAACCTGAAACACAGAAATCCCAGATATGAATTTTAATCTGTGGCAAGAAACTAGTCATAGTAATGGGCCATGGAATTCTTTTAAAAGAGAAAGTCTTCCTTCCTTCCCTTCCTTTCCTTCCTTCTTTCCTTCTCCCCTCTCCCCCCCTCCATCAAAAAAAGACTGGAATTGGTGTTTCATTGTGGTGGCTTTGGACAGCTAATGCTACTTTAAATAAATTGCACCAAATATGATGCAACATATTCTCATTCAAGGTCAGGTTGAATTATAGATTCAAGATATAAGGCCTTTCCCCACCATTGAGCTGAAGTGTTCTTCATCCATCCTAAAACTGGCAGGAAATCATACTCATGTTGAGAAAGATTGTTCTAGAAGCAAGGAAGAACACACAAGGACTAGAGAATACCGTTCAGATAGCATCTTCCATGATGGGATAGGGACAGGTTTCCCCTGCAGCTCCATGCATATCTTAAAAATCTGCACCAAGTCATTGGCGGAATGCCCATTGTGCTCATCTGTGGGGCATAGAAGACCACAGGAGAAAAAGGGGAAATCCAATTGCTCAAATACTATAGAAGATATATTTCATTAGAGTTCTCCTAATGAATCGTATGAATACACGTAGAAAATAAAAGCAAAGCCTATTAATACTGTAATAATTTGTAACCTGGCTCCTTGGTGGCATGCCGCCAAAAATACTTTATGGACCATTTTTGTAATGTGCTGGTCATTTTCCCTGAAAGGACATTTGAAGCTATAATGAACAGTGGTTTGGAACTTGGTGATAAATGCAGATATGCAGCCTCTATAGGCAGGATAATGCCTTACTGTATCAGAGAATAACTGGCTAAATGATCAAGCATCAAATTCTTTTTAAGTGAATAGGATTTTTCACTTACAGTCACTTGATCCATTCCAATTATTCCTGTCAAGCTACCAGTGCCATAGTGAATGGAAAAAGAAGTACCCACTTCAGTGTAGGTGCTGGACTTTGATGGCTGAAATCTGGAGTGTTCAGCTGTAATTGAAAAAAAATAAAAAGAAATCTCAATGCTTGCATCTCTGACCTTATTGGCCTATGGACTTTTGCAGTCCAGCCCTGTGCATATTTATTCAAGTACAATATATACAAGATTACAGCCTTGTGAATCCACACAGCTGTATACAGTGAATGGACTCTATTGAATGGACTTTATTTTAAAATAAGGCAATATGAATGTGCTGCTTGTAGCTTCAGTACAAGACAGTCATTTTGCACATGAGAGTTGCCAATGATTCAGTAATGAAAATATATTTATGATTGCAACTATGCTAATCTAAGTTATATAAGCACTCCATATTTTACATATATATTTTCTCAAAAATAAGTTGTTGCTAGAGAATACTTATGGAAAAATGTGCAAATGACAACAATCTTGAATTGCCATTCATGTTGTTTTATCTTTTATAGCAAAAACATACTTCTGAAAAAACATACTTAGTATTGTGCTACTAAATTATTATTACAAGCTTTCAATTACTGTACTTCTTTCTTCATAACATAACTGTAGGAGATGACCAGGTTGAGCCCGAGGGAAGGGTCAAATGCATCATCAGTCACGAGTCCCTTCACACCCACAAGAGATCTAAGTCCAGCCTACCCTGAATTCCTGTGACTCTTATCTATCACTATCAGATTCTTGTAGAGAGCTTAAGTTTGAAATAAATCTTTATACTCATTTGAACTGCCTGGATCTTCTGTTCCCTGGTGCTTGACAAAAACTTTTTTTCTCCTGAATGCAATCTTATTTTAGATTTATCACTGTAAATATGCTCCCAAACAGCAAGATTTGGTTTCTGTTTTGCAGATTGCAGGTGGACAAAATGTTAGGAATACTACAGCGTACTACAAGTCCAACAGAAAGGCTGTATATTACACTTCTACTCAATAATTGGATTTCCAGTATTGCACATAGCAAATGTGCTATGCAATTATTGTTATCTGTTTACCAAAGAAAGTCAAATGACAGCAAATTACTGTACATTTGGATTTATTGGAAGTATGAACAACATTTACTAGTCTGAATAGTGCTAGTTCTGCAAGTACCTCTAACATAAACAATGTTAACAGTTTTCATACAGCATAATTTAAAGTAATTTTCTTAAGGTTTCTGCCATGTGCAAATCAATGTTTGGCATCTACGAAACCCAACAGGCTTCTCTATAGATTTTATTAATGTATATGCCTTTAAATAGAGCAAGCATCAAGGTGATATTTTTTAAATCGTGCCTTCCTTTCCCCTTGCCCAATCCTCACCACATGCCTTGCTGACACAATAAACAGATGGTACCCAGAGGTTGGAGGAACCAGTGTCAAACAGTATAGTAAAACTCTGTGGAGGGTTTCCAATGGAGATCTGTCCAAAGTATTCCACCTGCCAGAACAGGAAAACAAAGAAGCATTTCTATTTCATATACTGGAATGGAGAAGCACATTAGGGCTACATAAAGTGGAACCTTTTTCCAAACCTGAGGGGAATCTTGTCAAATGCTCCAATACTGGAAGTTTTTAAGAAGAGACTGGACAACCATTTGTCTGAAATGGTATAGGGTTTCCTGTCTGAGCAGGAGGTTGGACTAGAAGACCTCCAAGGTCCCTTCCAACTCTATTATTATTATTATTACTATTATTATTACTATTATTACTATTACTATTATTATTATTATTATTATTATTATTATTATTATTATTATTATTATTATTATTATTATTATTATTATTATTATTTTCCAGTCAGTATTTCTATTATGCCAAAGTCTTGTTGTTTGCTTAAATGGATCAAGAGTTTAAATGGGATTTTAATTTTAGTGGTATTTTGGGGGGAGCTTACTCATAAGCCAATTGTACACCTGCATTTTTAATTTTAATCTCTAGCATTTAAATTGCAACATTTTCTTAATAAAAATCTGTGTTTATTTTCGCACTTAAAGTATCTACTATTTTCCTATCAGTATGCTCCTGGATATACCCTTTTTCGAGGACCAAGACTATTATATAAATCTAAAAATCTAGAAGAAGAAAAAAGAGTGATTTATTAGAAAGAAAAAAGCTGGCTCATTCTTCTGCCTTTCCGCTGCAAGCATGCAGCAAAAAGAGAGAATTCAGATAGGTATACAATGGGGGGGGGAAAGATTTTTGGCGTAGATATAAACGCTCTGCAGGCATTCAGACATATCTGAAAAGGTGAGAAGTAGTAGGACATGGATGTGAATGGAAGTCTGGTCCTATCCTTCCACATTGCTCATACCAGTTGTCTAAGGCTTGCATGGAACAAAATTATGTCTATTCAATTCAACTCATTCACAAACTTTCCCATCATCAGAGACCAATTTAGCTACGTTTAAGTATGTTCAGCTTGGTTTTAACTCTCCAGCAGATTTTGAAGCAGGCTGTGAAAGGTTTTTGACACATTTAGTTCTTAGGGCGGATCTGTGTATTTGTATTACACACCAATTTTCTTTCAATCCACTTTCAGAGTTGGCTAAGAGAAAAGAATATTGGGAGGTGATGGAGTGTGAAATAGGGCAGTTCATTTCTTGTTTGTAGAAGTGCTAAATTGTCAGTTTGCACTTATATTCAACTTGTCTGTTTGCAAATGTAGCCAAATATTTCAGAGTCCTCTTGAGCATCGAGTGAAAACTTTGATACCACTGAAATATCTGATGAGTAAGTGGGAAAGATGGGGCAATATATTTTCTTTTTCGCTTGTAGGACAGATGTATACATCCATGACATTGGCTCTGGACTTTAGCACAGTTATAATGTGCATTAGAGCACATAAGTATAGAGACATAGGCCATGTTTACAACTCTTTAAGGCAACTATATCTTTTCCCCAGGTGATAATGTTTCATACCAGTAAAATGTAGAAATGATGAATTTTTATAATGCATACATATAAACTTAACCGAGCCCTTTCAACAATGCCATTGCATTTCTCAGTGGCCTCATAATATATAATAAACCAGGAATATGTGGCATACTGTCAAATAACTCCTGGATTTTTATACACCATGTTGTAAGCACAGGATAAGAGTTTAATAAAATTAAATTCTATCACTGAAAAAAAATGTGACATTTGTCTTCTTTATAGCTAACATATTTCTGCCTCCCCCCCCCCCATAGTTTCATTCATGCTTTGGCTTTAACTTACATCAAGATAGTTAAAGAGGGGTTCGTTGGCTTCTTGGAAGGCTGAGCAGTCTTGAGTGTACTGTATCATGTCTACCTTATATTTCTTCCAAAACTGAGCCAATTGCCCACGTTCCCTCAATTTTTGCCGCAAAGATGGGTGTCTTTTCAGGGTTATTCTGGAGAGGAGGGAAGGAGCTATATGCTTAATGCTGATTAACAGAAATAAGAAAATCTGAAAAGCATTTTATTATAGTACAGGCAGTACTAGAATTTATGTGTTATTTATATCCTGAAAACTTTGCCTATGCTGCACATGAATGTAATTATGTATCAAATTCAATACTTGAAAAATATCTCTCTTTTGCCTAATTCTGAAATAAATCCAATCCATGATAGTAGCAAATAGAACTCGTGTGATTTATTTTTCATCGGGCATTCACTGTTATTGATTATGAAATTCCCATTTGCAACATTTGATGATTTGCAATTTGATGATTCTTCACCCTTAATATATTTATGAATAGTGGTGTTCGGTGTGGGACAGGAATTTGGAACAGAATGTACAGTACATCAGGATGGATTTGTAATATTTTGAAAAGAGTAAAATAATACCCATAGGTGTTTTGGAGCCACTCCCCTTCTTACAATTAATATGTCTTGTAAATGTCTTGTAAATTTATCTAAATGCATTACTGATTATTCACAAAACATTGCTGATGTGTTTCTGCTAATACTGGAACTGTGCTGTACTTGTAGGAAGTTAAAGAAGTTTCAAGGGACTGCTATCCCAGTGTAGCTTTGTAACTGTAATTCCTAATGCTCAATAAGAAAAATGGGGGTGGGGGTTGTGTAGAAGAAGAAAGAAATGAGCTTACCTTTGTAATCCACTGGTCATGCAAATGTAAAACGCTAAAAAGATCAACCATTTCATTCTGGCAGCGGAGGACATCTGCTCTCCTTGACTTGTAGGAACTGGACGCAAGTTTTGTCCTTATAGCCACTAATCAGCCCAGCCACTGAGAGATAAAATCCCAGGAGAAAATGTACAATGTGAAAGCCACACCACTTAATGTCAATATGGCACTTTTAGAAAAGAAATTAGTCACTGCACATATTCACCTTTCCAGTGATCAGAGAGTAAACAGTTCTTTAACAGTGAAGCAGGAAGTGATTGGAGGAATTGATAGGAGGTGACCAAAAGAAAGATGTAGATGTTCTTCATTTCATAGAATGTGTTTTCTATAGGACTCACTTTAGAGCTCTTTTGTCTTTATGGGACAGAATATAATCCTTTGGTTCTAAAGCTCATTCAAAAGTATATTGACAGAAGAAAATTATGCAGTTCATGCTCAAAAGACCCAGATCTTAACAAAAGAGTGGTGAATATTAAGTTGTTTCCATACATAATATTTTTGTACTATGCATACTCTCCCTGTGTGTGTGTATACATGTGTTCCTTCAAGTCAGTTTTTGACTCCTGGTGATTGCCTGGACTATTCCCTGCAGTTTTCTTGGTAAAGTTTTTTCAGAAGTGACTTGCCATTTCCTGCTTTCTAGGGCTGAGAGCAAGTGACTGGTCCAAAATCACCCGTGGCTTTGTGCATAAGATAGAAATAGAACTCACAATCTTCTGGTTTCTAGTCTGATGCCTTAACCACCAATATAATTAACTTGAACATTTCTGTTCCTGAAATATTACACTTCCCAGATGCTGGCAACCCATATAGTGTGGCCATATATCCTATTGGTGACATTCAGATTTTATATGTCTTCACTTAAATCATCTGCACTTGCAGCTTTAGTATGTTTAAACATTTTCACAGCATCATTTAGTTCTTTATCAATTATCATTTATAGCATCCATTTCAATTCCAAATTTCTTTTACTTCAGTTCATCCCAAATAAACTTAACACCTTTATTTTTTGTCTTATTTGCTCTATTGGAGGTTCCTTGTTTAGATTATTTTTTACAAACTTCCAAAGTAATTTTTGCTTCCTTCCAAATTACTCTGCATTTTCTCTACTTATTTTAATCTTAACCATTTCTTGTTCTTGACCACATTCTTTGAAGCTATATTTTTATTGCTCTACAGATTACACAATCTTTCTCTCATCTTCATTCTTTGCATTAGATTTTCCTAAATGCCTCTTTCACTTCATTATTCCCCTAAGTGTCTTCTATCATACTTCCCATTCATATATGGGACACTTCCTTCTTTGGATGCAAGACAAGAACTAAGGGAAAGTAGGTTCTTTTTCTGTTCTCTGTTTGAAAGCCACCTGGAAAAAAAGGAAAGCTATTACTAGGAACTATTAGGAGTTTGGTTGCTTGTTTCATAGCAACCTAATACAGTCTGATAACTGGTTTTTAATTTGGCTGCCTTGTGTAAATAAGATATTTACTTGGATTTTCTTCTTTTGCTATCCTAGCTTAATTTCCTTTGTGCCCTAGTTAGAGGGTTTTGTCTATTATATCTGTGAATTATTATTTTTCATGCTTGTAGTAATCAGCTACTTCAGCAAATTGTGGAATACTTTATTCTGTTAGACATGGTCTCTTAATTTAGCTAAATTAAACTATTCAATAAGCAGGCTTTTGAGTTTTGTATACGAGGAGGGGAGAAGTGGTTTGCAATTTTTAATTTGTTTTATACCCAGTCTACTGTATAGATTTTGGAAACTTACTTTTTAAAAGATCACATTGGGTTTAAACTTTTTTTTTGTCAGAGCACCCATAATAATCAAGCAGTTGCATAATTGCATACTCACACTGGGTAGAACCAGCTTTTCTTTCAAATGGGAAGATCTAAATATTTCTAGATTTCATTCATGAAATCAGTGCATTGCAATTTGCAGTGAATTCAATGCAAATTCATAGTGGGTGCTCTCTATCTCATCCCAGAGACATATAAATGAAGGACACAAATATTACTGAATATATGGATAAAACTATTTGCTTTCTATATGCATCAGCTCCTCCTACTTGAATTTTGGATGGAGTGGAGGAGCAGTAACTTGCAGCGCTAAAGAAGCACTATTTTGTAGCCACAATTTTTTACATAATGCAAGGGGCTTGTTCAGTGGGAAAGGTGTTTGGAAACTTTAAAATAAAATTCCAATCTGGTTACTTCCAACAGCCATGCTAGCTGACAATTCTGGAAGCAATATTAATCTATCTAAAGAGTACCAGGCTGCTTAATTGTGCTCCGGCAATAAACAACATTTTTTTAAAGGTAGGAATGATTTAAACTGGCAAGTCCAGTTAAAGTCATATTAACTGAATTCTGCTCTAGTTGGTGCTTCTGAGTCATCCTCAAGGGCAGTGCACATGTGAGATATTACAGTAATCTAATGGAAGGGTTACCAGAGCATAGATCATTGTGGCCAGATTAAAGTAGCAAATCCACTAAGCTATCAAAGTAAGTAAATTTAATAGTCCTGGAAAAACATATGAGTTAAAATAAGTGAAGGAATGGATAAAAATGATACTGCTGTTGATTATTATTATGATTGCCTGCCCTGTCAAGAAGATACGGATTACACTTTCTGGAAATAAACCATAGATCTTTCAAAGTGGCATATAATAATAGGGATGTAGGCCTTTTATTAACCTGACATCGGTTGGGAGACAAATTCTGCTAAGTATATAGTTTCAGGAAACAACTAATCTGTCTTGCTGACCATTTTCTCCTTTAGTAAGTTGAGAAAACCAACGGGATTCAGCTATTCCTGATCTGATAGAAATGAAGAATAAATTGGAGTGTTGTAGAAAAGCTACCATATTGTGCTGAATGTAAAAAAAACTAGAACTGACTATTTACAAATACATTATCTTGGAATGTAAGAAAATGGACTTCAATAAACTCAGAGCAATGATAGTAGGATTTCATAGCAGAAGAAGTTAATGTGAAAAAGAGCTGAAGGTGAATGGAAGTAACAAGAAATAAGGAGGTACTAAACTGGAACAGTGATAAAGTATAGAAAGATAAGAAAGAAGCCACTGGGTTCATAAATGTCCATTATGAATTGTGATGACAAATTGTGATGAAACACAGTGTGTTTCACAATGCAAATTCCAACATCGGATGCTTGTACATAAGTCATACTGAATCTCCTAACATCAGATGTGACATTGCACTGCATTTTTGTCATTTGTTGCCTCAAGGTTCCCCCCCCCATCCTGATGCCTATTTTGGAAATTGTACAAAACGTTTAGTGAAGAGCTGGAAAAAAGGACACATAGAGGAGATGAAAAAATACCAAGTCATCATAAAAGAGTGCATAGATAGCCCAGAATTATAGAATAGAATAGAATAGAATAGAATAGAATAGAATAGAATAGAATAGAATAGAATAGAATAGAATAGAATAGAATAGAATAGAATAGAATAGAAGCTGGAAGGGACTTTGGAGGTCTTCTAGTCCAGTCCCCTGCTCAAGCAGGAGGACCTGCTTGATGTATCAGTGAAAGGAAGGATAAAATGCTGACTGAAGTGAGATTGATGAAAGAGCAGGGGTGTCAAACTTGCAACGTCACGTGACGTGTCACGACGTATCACAACTTTTTCCCCATTGCCGGCAATGGGGTGGGCGCAGTTTTGCCATGACGCATCTGGCCTGCGGGCCAGCAGTTTGACACCCCTGTGAAAGAGGGCTGGTCCCAAGGTTACCCAGCTGGCTTCATACCTAAGGCAGAAATAGAACTGAGTCTTCCAGTTTCTAGCCTGATGTTTTAACCACTACACCAAACTGGCTCTGTTCAAGCAAATTGAACCAGATAGGCAGAATTATTTTCAGTCCCATTGATAACCTGGATCCAAGCCATGGAGGACTTTATTGGAATACCAATACCTTAAATTGTATTCAGAAACATATAGGTAACCAATACATCATCCTCAAAATAGGTTTAATGATGCTATAGAGCAGAGGTGTCAAACTGCCGGCCCATGGGCCGGACACATCACATGGAAGCCACGGCCACCCCATTGCCGACAATGGCAAAACCGGCCCAATATGTTGCGTGACGTCACCAGTTTGACATGCCTGCTATAGCAGTTCTCATCTGCTAGTATATCTTTCTTAACAACTATACTTACAATTGCTTTCTTTAGCTGGAGTATGACTTCCAAAGATAGTTGTGGACTTCTCTGTTATTTTGAGATTCCAACAGAAATGTGATCTGTCACTTCTGATGCTTGCTAAAATGGAGTCCATTAAACCAGAGCTTTAATGCGTTTCTGAACTCTTCACACTCTGAAAATTTAAATTTAGAAGGATTTCAAACTAAACACCAGGGGTGCTTGGGACTGTGAAGATCTAAGTCATTATGAGAACATGTCATCCTAAGAAAAGAAAATTAATTTCTGTCTATACTCTAATCTACATTTATTAGTTCAGGAGGATTCTTTAAACAATTGCTATGACATAATAATAATAATAATAACTGTCATCCTATATTTTATTCTTTTAAATGTAATCAATATTGTACCTGAGAGAATCTGCTTTTTTTGGCAAAATTATTTTGTACCTTCTCCTGGTGAAGGAGATATAGTGCTATACCCTATATAGTATACCTAGCTAAATGCTAGTTCTTGCTGACTTAGAAAACTTTTCACTTCAACCATGGGTAGACCTTGCCATAGTAGATCCTTTATTAAAAAAAATGAATCATGCTGTTATCCATATACATAATACATGGCACTGATCCTTCATCACTTTAAGTATAGCTTTTTGAAAAATGTTTGTGGTAATCAGAATTGTACCAGCCAAGGAAAAGGAGTGGAAAGTGTGTATAGAGAGCTTTCTTTTTATTGATTTACATGCTTTGTCTATTTAACTGGATGGACTGAGTTCAGAGATTTGCAAACATGTTTACCCAGAAGCTGATAATAATGT